CAAATTATATTTCGAGGGATTGAAATTATTTCGTGGGAACAAAATAAAAAAAAAGTCTCATTTTGCCTGCCCCCTAGAGGCTCCGTAGGTGTTAGTCCGCATGAGTAGTATGAACTGGGGAACTGACTCGCTTCACAGTTTTATGCATGGAGAAATGAAACTCATTTTCCCTGATCCTTCCGCCATGATTTAACTGATCAAACTAGAGTCGCGAATAAACACGTACATTGAAAACTGGTCTTGTTTACGTTGGTACGTGCACAGGAGAACTTCTTTTGCTAGGCAACGGTACCGTAGGGTGCGCTCCCTCTGCTGGGGGGGACACATGCTCCCATGTGTCCTCTCCGTGGTTACGTCATACTGACATTAAATAAAAGGGCTTTGATCGTATCACGATCTGACCTATCTCATTTTTTGACAAATGTGGGTTTTTAGCATATTCTTATTATGCATGACCTTTATGCATGATCTTTACTTCAAACTTATAGGCCTAGGTGCTCTGAAAAGCTGATTGAATTATGTAATTGGAAATGTTTACCTACCTCTCCGAAATTTAAAATTAATATTTCACGGACTGACGCATCGAGATATTTCACTTCGTTAAATGTGTAGACAACACTGTATTATACCCACGAAGTGACTTTAGTACACAGTCTGGTGTATACCTATCGATGTCATTTGAAGTTCAGTCATTCGGAGCAAGTCTTTAGCGCTGTTTGGTGTCATTCAGTGACTGAACGTTGAACCTCAGTTTCAACTGAGTTTCTGTAAGTGGCTGAACATATAAAGTATATTCCTTGCTTTTTGCTGATATTCGATTAAAATCGTGATGGGCATTCGCACGATGACAAAATCCTAAGTGAGGCGTACTTGTGTAGTCAGTCGCGGCAACAATACTGTGGCAGTGTCGTCTTCGGGAGTCTGCGAGCCTACGTCAGCGAAGGGTCGGCCGGTGACGCCGATCCGTTTTGGCGGCAGTTTACTGCTTGGCCGCAACACAACAGCCTCGACGAACGGTGACAGTCACAAGCGGATAGTTAACAATTGTTGACCGCTGTGGTGTGGGGTATGACGTCTTGAACACCCGAGGGACTCAAAGCGCCCCGCAGAATTTATCAAAAGAAACAAGCACTGTATTTCAGAAGACGGTGGGCCTACTGTAAAACCGTACAATTAACGTAACAGTCATTTGCAAATGCACTGTCCCCTCACTTTCGTTACTTGCGTAAAAGCAAGTGCGGGTACCAGTGAGTACATTTGTATAGTCTGGTTAGCGGTCTCTGCATTACCTTATACGCTGTGAGGGACGGAAACGAGTCTGTTATACGAGCGCACTTATCGATCGAATTCCCCGGTAGCCTGTGCACAAATGTATCATGGGTACCACGCAAAACTGACCGAAGGACTACGAATGTTCGTTCTCGAACTTCCAGAAGCTCTTCTGTTTTTCTGACGTACGCTTGTGCGTACACGCACCATTGGTAGAACGAAATGTCTCACGGTGCGTATGATGTGCCGATATGTTGCCCTGTCATGTGATCGTTCTGGGCCAATAAGCGAAGAGTGTCCATGACAGAGGTATGACAAATACAGTTGATACAGGGTCACACTTCTTCAAAACATGCCCCGTCACAAAGGCGCTTCACCAAGGTTACAACTATAGGCCTATTCCGCCGCACAGCACTGAATGTGAATTACTCATCATTTGAAGGTTCGAAATAGACAGTCATAAAGATTGACTACTATCCAGTGTGGCTTGGTAATTAACAATCAGTAGGCCTACGGTAAGTTATCTCTCAATCATTTACATTACTATGCCAAACTCACACTCGAATACAGGGCTTCTTTCCCAAGCTTACGCAAAGCTGTGTTTTCAGGAATACTGGGTCTGCTCAGGTCGACCACCACGCGGGAAGGGAGGCCGAGTCATGTCTGCCGCGCGGGTTTATAGGGACTGCTATTCTAAATTGCTACCCTCAAATAATCGTACAAATAGACAAACCTAGCAGCTGGGAACCAGCTTAGGTGAAGAAATGGGGGGGGGGCAGGTTACAATTTAATCCTTCACATTTGGGGAATTCCATAATTTAATTGGTTTCACTCTGCCTGGCTTAAATCAAAAATAGCATTTTGTCTGTTTGGTTCATGACATTTTGTGCTTTGTGATTCTCTTTTGTAAATGTTAACATAGTCAACCAGTCCCGACAAAATTTTTAAGCCTTCACAGTTAAATAGAAGTTAATGTAATGAACTGTAACAAGCTATTATTCAGTGGCCGTGTTTCTGGTTAAGATTGCAAAGCATGTAAAAACGAAAGAATTAATTGTCACGTACGCAAAAAATAATGACACCAGACATGAAAGACAGTCTAATTGATTCTTTCGTCGACTACATTTTATGTTAAAAAAATTACACGAATTTTTTCATGTCAATTCCTAAATTGAAATGAACAAAAAGCTATTTATTACTGAACGCATTGACTCATCTGCAGTTCTTTGCCTCAGGATTTCAGGGGAAAGCGATGAGACTTAAAAAAACAGCGAATTTGTAAAACTCCCATAACGCGAGCCTTGATCTTTTTAACAGTAGGCCAAAGTCTGACATTTTATTTCTTACCAAAAAGCACCACTGTTTGTCTGCGTGCATTTCCCCTCAGATTTTTGGATGCACTGCAGTGCCGGCACTCCGCATCATCGAATCAGGAGCTATTCTCCCGCTGTAACTCTGTTCATACTTGATCTATAGCCTTCATTAATGTCATTTACAAGTCACTGGTGTCATGTCATGGAAAAACGTTGATATTTTGTCTACTTCCTTTACTAACGTCATTTAAAAGTCACCGATGTCCTTTAAAATAATTATGAAACAACTACGATACTGTGAGTTCTTGCACTGTTTAATTTACCTGCACATGTATGGTTTGATATTGTCAGTCCAAGTCAAACATTTAGACAGAAGTCTTACTTATCTTTTTAATTAAGTAGTGTTTTGTTAAACTTGCTTTTCCGCCCCTTGAGTTGCCCTTAAAAAGGGCCTTTTTCTGGTCGGCTACTCTCAACAACAAAATCTACATTGTATAATATAACAGATTATACACTGACCCCGACAGTTTTCATGTTTCAAGCATAGATATCTTTAAACATGTACATATATGTCACTGAAAAGCCCTATTATTATTGGAATTCTTTTTAAAGGAGGCGTACAAAGCATCTTCAGAAAATTGACCCTGGGTACAATGTATATATATAAAAATTAGTTTGAATGATAAGAGGTATAAACTTTGAAGAACAACCGTGAAATAGACAATAAGTGTGGACTCATAAGAGGACTTTAGCAGACTGTTCTATTTCAGTACGGGTAACTTTGATTTGTTTCTCTCTATTGCGAGAATAAAACAACTCTTTTGCACACGGTTCTTGTTTCTCGGTTTTAACTGATTGCATGTGAAGTACAAAAAAAACCTTTGCAAGGAATGATTTGAGAATGTTTAATAGTTACAATAAAATATATTTGTAGGTTCTGTAGGTTTCTACTCACCCTGCTGATGGGAATTCCCCTTCTAATTTCCATCAGCTTTTGCAAAGTTTTATTCCTTCAGACCTTTTTAATCGAAAAAAAATATAAACAAAACACAGCGAAGGATCTTAAACGACCCTCCACATACGACAACAAGGCATATGACCAGGCTCATTTGGCATCCGCTCTGCTCAGGAACAAAAAGACTGAGTGTTAGGAAATAAAACTGACAGTCATTGCACAGACGTATGAACACAGACCGCCAGACCCTATTCAAAACTACGCGGCGCCCGAGTGAAATTTAAACTATGGCCAAATTTACCCCTCGGTATTGGGGATTTACGCACAGTTGAGGAAATCCAACAATAAAATTTTATGAAGCCGTAAATTTTTTTTTTCTAAAATTAACTTAATGTGGCCCAAAGGGATTCAAAATAATGTTCCCCTGGTTAGAACCAATTTCATTTATTCTTACGGAGAGACCTTTTACATGGAAATAATTGTACCAGACGTACACTGTGGGAATTAATCGCAGCCATCCGTGAAATGTAAATTGACCCACGAGGGTCGCTGGAGTGTAACTGGATTGCGTGTGTGCATAAAAAGCAACAGATTATGTCAAACTCTTTTCACTCTTTCGAGAGAGATGCATGCCACACGTGAACCGTGGCGAGCCGCACAATAGTAATCCTGCATGCGTGTGGGGAAAACAATGCGAAGCAGGAGATTGCCGCAGTAGTACGGTGCCTCGCTCAAATGACGCCGTGATACATCAAGCGATGAACGACAACGTTTTATGCGTTTGACAATTGCTTAAATCCTAACCTCAGTTCCGTTTACCGTTGCATATTGTTAAGCCGAGAGCATCAACTGTGTTGTGACAATACTGAGCAAATCGACTCAGTGGGACGTCTGAGAAAAAAAAACCCATAGATTTAACGGTGCACCGCATCGAACAATATTGAAGGGCACCGATTTATAATCGGTTTCCCTGCTTATCGGATCCATAACATGTTTAGCGGCAATGCATTTTTACCTCCTAAATGGCCCTTTGTGTCCCGATTAATTTGACCACGTCAAAGAGCATTTTGCTGCCTTTTTGGTTTTAATTCTAATTAGAATTTTCATACTGAGCAAAACTGTGATGTCATCCTCGGGAGAGACCCTGAGTTTTGCAATGGATAGTGCACAAAACTGCTACATTGTGTCAGATTTTTCTGGTCTTAGTCTGTTTTCTTTGGTGACTATTATGTGTGGCAATATTGAGCAATCTCAAGGGTTAAACCCTTTCTCGGAAATGTTTTCAGTGTATTATGTGGAGTCTTGTCTCGCAATTCGACCAGGAAACAGATGCACTGAAACATGTCTTGCTGGATGACAGCGCAGCAATAGCGCCCGCATCCGTCAAAGAAGCTCAGGCATATTTTTTTGCTATTAACGTGCACTTTTCAGTGCGTGCATTCAACTTAAAGGAGGCTCAATTTTCATCAGTTGAAAAGGATCAAGTTGGAAAAAGATCCGTACGAAAATTAAATGCTGCTTCACTTGTACGTTACTGAATCCATTTCATGTGCCACCCAGAGCCGTGCTTGATGATAATGCGTCCATTGCAGACACACTGATTTACTTGTTAACTTCGGGCCCTCACGGGTACCCAGTTATACTCTTATAGGCCTACGGTTACTACGTGTAACCTGCCGCTGCTAGATTCGAACCTTTGACCCCTGAAGAGACGGACACGCACTGTTAATTACACTCCTACTACTGAGAGTGAGAAGTCCCAGAAAAGTCGCATTACCCTCAGCTACCTATGTCGACACAACAGAATGGACTGACACATTGAGTGCGATTCTAAGACAACTGAACTGAATCTGCTTGCCCTGAAGAAGGTACTCAGTTACCAAAAGCTCGGCAATCACATATTTCAAAGGACTGATTTGATATTATATTCTTGTTGCGATTCTAGGACAGTTTGTTTTGATCGAGTTGGCGTTCCGTAGAGGCTGGTGTTTAATCACCTTGACAGTCAAGCCTGAATGTAGCACGGGGATTGTGACGTATTGCGTGCGCGCGATTCCAAAGTCAGTCACTGCACGGGTGGAAACTGCAGCCTACTACAGGCACCAGGTACAGCCTGCTGCTCCTACCGGAGAGCAGTCTCCACGGAAAGCAAGCAGTTTCATCGGCCACGATGCCGCCCCTGGGCAATCGGAAAATCCTGGTTGTGGCCGGGGCCACCCTGCTGTATTTCGTGTCAAACGGCCCAGTATTAAATTACAACGTGTTCTTCGTCGACTTTCAGAAAGAGTTCAAGGACAGCGCTGTATTTACTGGTAGGTATCCAGTTTCATATAGGAAATCACCAAGTCAGTAGGGTAACTGAGGCCGGCCAATGCACCCTCTCCCCGGAAATTGTCGGCGCAGCACCGTTTCTACAGGTAACACACGTAGAAGCCATACTTGGGCGCGCAGTGTACATATTTAGCAATTCCTCAATGTATGAATCTATACCTCGCCTACAATCTGAACTTTAACCCCGCTCCGTTGCACATCCAAGCACACACGGTTTGGTTACCCAAACGTTACATCTGTAAGCATTATGGCGCAAGTCAACCGTAAAATGTCAACTCTCGGTATCTATGATACCTTACGATTGTTACAGAGGCCACATTTGATTGGCTTCGATGCTTTTTGCATCATTTTATTTGTGTCCAGTTGGCGATTAAGAGATGTCCCCTTGTAAACAGAAAACGATCAAAATCGAGTTCAGAAAAAGTCACTCCACTTCTCAGCATGTTTCAGTCAGAGAGAATGGACGAGGATTAGATTTGTGCAAAGAATGGGCCAGGCGAAGCCGCGCCCATATGCACGAATTGACAGTTCCGATTTCTATTCTGACTTGAACTATTTCATATTGTTGCACGAACAGAGAGTCCCGACTGTCTAAGACGCTCCCTCTGTTCGCCCTTCGCATGAGTGAAAGCACTAAAAATATTCGTGCAGTCAGTATCGTCAGTGGTGGGTACATATACTTCAGCTCTTCTTTGGAGTCATTATTACGCGTGTGTCATTGCAGCAAAACCCATCAGACTAACCTTAAACCACCACAGGACTCTATGAAGCCGAGGATTTTAACATAATTCAACATTTAAGAAAGACTGGGCAAAACATAGACACAAAAGTAGCCAAAGCGCATCAAATTTATTCCTTATTGAAAGGTGAAGAAAAAAATTCAAATCTTGGTTGAAATTTTTGCTTTATAGAGCATTAATCCTGAAAGGGGACACGAGGGTAATCGTATCGTAATCGAAGTTAATCGGGGGACCCCCAATCTCCTCGTTGTTACGAAACTTGAATGACTGTAGATTTAATACAGATATAGATTCGTCAAAATAACCTATTCTTTGAACAACGGAGTGACGTCACAGAAGTAGTTTAAATGCATATGTAACGCTGTCAGCATTTCCTTTGAAATCGAAGCGTAATGGTAAATCGCACATGTTGTTACTTCAGTCAGGCGGCTTGTGAGGAGACTAGAGAGTGCCACAAAATCAATTATGATTGCTTGTGTTGAACGGAATATGTCATCTGCGAATCCCTTGACGGGGGTCCCAGTAAGCTTTGCAGTCCCTACCGAACGGCCCCTCGGGAAGTCGGGATTAAACAATTACCCATAACTTCAGTATGTGTTTATTTCTCCATGAGTATCCTATCCCTTCCAAGTAAAGTCTCGTCCCTTCCAGCGATGTGTCATGAAGGTCGTTTGACGGCTGCCTGGGCGGGCGGTGATGTTCTTGCATTGCATACGCATTTTTAAACATGACTTAATCATTATTCATTGTTGCACTACATGCACTGTGAAGGGCGTTTAATAACTGTAGTGTTCAGCGCCATTGGCGGGACCACTGTATCTAACCAGCGATGGCGCCATACCACCGTCGCCCGGTTTGTCTATGTTCATTTGAAATGCTACCTTTCCCGAGTCTTTTCTAAATGTGAGGTTAATCCTATTCTTTGAGTCTATTAACAATTTTTTATTTGCTATATCTAAATCTTTTCAAGGCTGGGTTGGCGCCACGAGTGTCTCCTTGCACTGTTGTATCGCTCCAGTGGGGGCGGCCCTGGCCAGCCGGTTCGGCCATTTCCGCCTACTGGTGGCCGGCATCGCGCTGGAGTCGGCCGGCTTCCTCCTGACCTCCTTCATCCCGTCGCTGGCCTACGGGTACCTGACGCTGGGCGCGATGGCCGGGATAGGGGCGGGCTTCGTCCTACTGGCGGCCAGCAGCCTGCTGCTGGACTGGTACTCCGGGGACGCCAGCTGCTGCCGGGCAACTGGGACGCTCTCGATCGGCGGCGCTCTGGGTAGGCCTTTTGCTTCCTGCATTTGCTTTGCTTTTGTAGTAGTAGCGAAGCCGGGAGGGGGGCAGGGAGGTTATCTGCCTCTCCCGGTGGGAACTCTCCCCCCTCCCCTTGTCGACCCCCTCCGCAAAATAAGCCATTAAATTTGAATAAAATCTGGTATACTGAGTTCTTTAAATTCACATGAACATAACAACTTGAACTTTCCATACTAAAACCACTGTTGCTATACCTCGTGATTCGGGGCAAGCTTTTGCTTAGTTGAAACAATACACTGTTCTCAACGGATAAGAACGGCACAAAGGAACCAGTCCAATCCAGAGATGGTGGTCGCTATGCAAAAGCTTGCCCCAAATCACGAGGTATAACAACAGTGTCTTTAGTCTGAGGAATTCAAATTGTTGCGTTTCTATGCAATCAGATAACACAGTGTACCAGATTTTATTCGCCTCAGGCGACGGAACTTGGCCTCAGCTCTATGTACTGAACTTGTTGGTGTTATGCTGATTGGCCTCAATTAACTCAAAGCGTATAAGATCTTTCTTTTGTTGACAAACACTGGCCTCCATTTTGAATGGGCAACCAATATTTGCCAGTTTGTTCAATCTTTGTTTACAACGTTTGCCTGGGAATGTAGATTTTGCTTCATTACTGTTGACATGGAGGCATTTTCGTAAAATAATTTAGCTATTACTGACTAAGTGTTTTAACATCTGCGTTAGATTTTTGGTGAAGCATTTCTTTTGATTTTGCACTCACGGCCAGCCATAGTTTTGCATGGGCTGTCAAAATTATTGCACTTGTGACGCAACAAAAGGAAACTCTATAGAGTACCGAAGTGTGACGTCACTGTCAACCACAAAGTGGCATACAAACGAATGGAGTACGCGCGCGCGTTGATTCTCACGCCAATGCCTTTTACACACATAATTGCGTGACACTGACCGTGACTTCATGCGCTGCGTGCGCGTTCCCTCATCGTGCAAGGAACCAACATGGCGCGGCAAGATCGTTCCCGTTCGTTGTCATTTTTATAAATGCAAATATCCAAACATAACAGTGTGCTGTTTCATTGTGTAAGGTATTATGGGCTTGGGACCTTTACTCAACAAAACCAATGCCGTGTGGGGCTGGAGAAACTCGCAGCGATTGCTCACCGGCCTCGTGTTGCTGTTGGGCACAGTGGGCGCGCTGCCGTTCCTGAGGTCCCCGGAAGCCCGTCGAAAACAAGCCGGCGCAGCCCTGCAGACGCCTGGCAAGATGCGGAGTGAGCTGGAGACGTGCTCAGGGGACGAGAAGGAGAGACTCGGTCCCGTCAGCGACGAAGTCGTGGCCGTCGCTGATGACTGTAAGGACATTCCCCACGACCCTGGAGGTGCAAGACTGTCGGGTGACGGTGAAGGTCGCGGTAGTCGCAGTGGCGGAACGCAAACCTTGAAGAAACTGCTGTTGAACGCGGACATGTGGCTGTTTGTTTCCTCGATAACGTCTGCCCAACTGGGCTGGGCGTTCGTTCTGATCAACTTCGTAAGTATCACAAAAGAAGTGAATGAGAAAGCGCAGACAGTAAAGTGCACAGAATTCGTGGAATGATTCCTTTATGTTTGTTGAACTGTGTATTTTTCGAAGTTGTTTGGAGTGCTGTAGTTCCACTCTCTGTTTCCATTCATCAGAGGCGCTGTTGACACGGCGACTGCAGAACTGTTTATACTAGTTGCGACATACATGGCCCCGTTGGAAACAAACTGTTGGATTATGCGTTAGTGCATACGAACAATCAGCACCCTCTTATCAGTCGAAAAGGGCCATTTTGGTTGGGACTGTTCATGCAGTCCATGGTCGTTTGTGAACCAGCGAAGTGCAGTTCCCAACAAAAGGAGCCTCACTGAGTTGATATTAAACTTGCGCCCTCTCTTGATCCCTTCGAGGTAAATACATGTAGTCCTGGTCACACCAGTCGGTGTAGTTAGTTGGAAAAGTGAGTACATATGGGTCCAGTCCACTAATTCAAGCCCCATTGAAACAAGTGTAAAATCAGCACCGTTCAGGGCCCAATAGCATGCACGCCAACATCCCTGAGACTTCTGAAACACAAATGATATTCTTGTCTGGTCACTTATCTTTCAATTTCTTTTAAATTTTTTGTGGGTTAACCAATTACATTTTTAGTTATTCCCACAAAACAAAATCACCCCCCCCAAAAGTGACCTGTTCGAAGTCTGCTTGCAGCCATTTTTCAAGTGGCAACCCTCAACTTTCTCGGGCACTTAGGACCATTTTCCAACCGTAGTTTTTAGCCCTTCTGCCCTCATATGAAAGCTCAAAGACCCAGGGAGTTGATCCTGGCAACGATTTACACAATCTCACCATTTTGGGGGACAAACAATCTCCTTTTTCAAAAGATACTGTGGGGGCACTTTTAATGCTAATGAGCTGGTCAAAAATTCTCACTTGAATTAGTGGTCTGCACCCACATGTACATTAAATCGATTCAGCGATCTCGACAAGTATCCTTCTTCCCTTGCATAACTGCAGTCGAGCTTCATGAGGGGAATCCAGTTGTCGACGGAGCAAATTTCCCTGACCCTGGTGGTCCTTGGGGCCTCAGAGGTTGGCGGTAAACTCGTCTTCGTCTTGTTCGGGGACCGCCTGTGCTGTCTCAAGCTGTACATCATCGCCGCCACGTCGGTGTGCGGGGCCGTCACAGCCGGCTTCCAGACGGTATGCTCGACCTTCCAGCACATGATCGCCCTCTCAGTCGGTAAACAGTCAGTTATCTCTCAGAAAACAATGAAAGAGAGAAATATAACCAGTCAGATTTACAGCCAGAAAAGTGGACGCGCAGGAATATATAGGTTAAGGAAGGGACCTGCATGTACTTTTCATCATTATGAGGCTTCAATTTAGGAGGTTTATAGTTTTCTTAAAAGGCATCTTCTCTTTACCATGATAATCCTAAATGTCTCTTATGTTGAGTCCGAAAATAACCTCAATGAACACTGACGCATGACGTAACATTATTCTGTTTTAAGATGTAGGGTGCGCGTGTTGGTAGGTTGTTTGTCAGCTTTATAAAATGGTGTGCAAAGGTGGCACTAAATATTCAAAAGTACAATTAGACAAATTTCCATGAGGCGAATCAGAGAGGGGAAACGGGCAATTTGTCCATTGTATAAAAATTCAAGAACAGTTTGACGACGAACATCACTGACATGGATTCAAAAACCTTGGATATTTTAAGAAAGGGAAGATTTCCTCCCATTTTGGCCATACGCGTGGACGTGACGGCTACTGCATGGTGTCAAGATTTTCCCTAAGTGAAGTATAATCCTTTTGGTTGGGGAACTATATTATGGAACCAGATTATACCTCCGCGCAACCCTGAGTGTTCTGTCTTAAAATTCCACGTTACACTTTCCCTTGAACTTGACTAGTCCGTGCAACCAGCTGCAATTCCTCTCTCGCTCTTTATCTGTTAGTGTGGGGAACAGCTCGCGGGGGAATATATGGCGCCTGTCTAGCAGCGAGTGACGAGCTCTTCAGCGCTTTCGGCTCGGGTGTCGTGACCTCTGCCCCACTGACTGGATTCGGACTTGGCATACTAATCGGGTCGTCAGTTACAGGTGAGTTCAGCGGACAGACGTCAGGCAGTAAGTTACACATAGTCAAAAATCGTTGCTTCAGCTAAACAGCGTGGTGAGGGCAGCGTGTCTTAACGATTAGTTGCCATGTCAACAAAAGTGGATTCCAAATAACTCTTTAGCAATCCACTCCAGTGGTCAGGGTCATATGCCAGGACCCATGGATGTTTTACAAGGATATGCATTACTAGCATTTCTGTTTCAAGTGTCCAGGCAAGAAATTACTTATTTATTCACTCATTAGAAATATCATACAAGAGATAAAATATGAAGTGTCCCAGTTCGATCTACATCGAATCTGCCATGATTAATTAAAGTCAAACCAAACTGTGCAACGAAAGCAGCTGCATTATATCGAAGTCTCACACTGATATGGAAAGGGGAACAACTTTGGGGGAATTTGGTTGGTTGGCTAACTTGACTGTTGGTGCGTTGGTCGCTTATGTGTGTTTGCGTTCTTGTTTGCAATCCTACTGAATGGTACCCTGGCTTCTTCACAGGTGCTCTGTACGACCTGACCGGCGACTACAGGCTCAGCCTCTTCATCTTGATGGCTAGCTTTTCTTTCTCGACCGTCTCCATGCTACTGATCCCCGTCCACAAGAGGATGACGCGGTCACCCGGCCGTCCTCCAGGGGCAGGCGCCGCCACGGCACGGTGCGCAAACGTCGGCCCAACCGACACGACCGACGAGCCTGCAAAAGAAGACATGCCCATGGTTCGAACCGTGCGAACCCCGACCCCAATTCCTGACATACATGTAGATACCGAGAGTGAGCCATCAAGCTATGGACAAGGTACTCTGGCCTGTGAGGCATAGATTGCTTGGGTTGTCCTGATTCCAAAATCTTAGTTTAATGTCTGACGTATATGCATACAGTGATCCCCTGTGGTTTACTCTGTCATTGGAAAGTTCTAAGATTCCTTTGAAGAACGGAACGGATGACAGTAGGCCTAATTTCATTTGTTGTTGGTGTTGTTGTTGTTTTTGTTTGTTACCAATTTTTGTTTTATTTTCGTTAAATCTGCAGTTGATCTGTTTCAACGTGGACATTTCAAAATATTTAAAAATTTGCTCAGGATGGTTTTCGAATGGTGAGCAATCAACGACCATTTATGACAGTAAACTTGTGCCAGATTCAACGGGTTGTTTATCTCCATAATGCTTGTTATTTAACATGTTGAAAATTATTTTAATTACACACTAGCGTTCTGAAAGTGGGGGAAAAGGATCCCTCAATAATGACTTGAATTTGTGTCTGAGTGAGTTCTTGAAAAGTCTAACCATACACTGGATCCCTTCTGAGTGCTAAAAAAAATATTCTTCCGAGAGATGATTCAGGTACTACAGAAGAGTTTCGAATGAGCCCATCTTGTATTACGCCCGTGGCTATGAACAAAGGCAGGGTGCTGAATACGGTATCTTACGAGCCAAGTTTGAGGCCTCACCTCAGATTTCAGTTTTCTTACAAACATGTTTTTCCAAAATTAGGATCGTATATATTATTCAGTGGACGCCAGTTCGACTGTGGTCCCAGCCGCTAGGGCCAGTGGCAGGGTTTAATTAAGGCTGGGGCTTAACCCTGCTCCTTCGCAGCACACCGCACTCCAGCTGTTGTTGACGATATCGCACCCCAATTGAGCGGATATTTGAATGGTTATAAAATGCCCAGCCTTGATGAAGTTGAGGCTACTCCATAATCGTGTCTGTGCATTCAGGGTCATCAGATCATGCAAAGGGGCCCAGC